AGGTGAAAGCATTTCAGCTAACCCCTCCTCAGAAACTCTGTGGGCTCGCCTGATTTACATCCATGGGGACCGGGAGTCCCCCCATGAAACAGTCCACAGACCATGTGCTCTGGTTCCCTTTTTTTAAAGTATGTCTGTGTTGTGACTTCCACTTTCAAGACAGAAACAGGACTCATGGAGGCACTTTTTGGGGGCTGACTCAGGGCTAGGCCAGGAAGCCAAGTTAATTCTACAGCCAGATTCTGATCATCTAGAACACGCAGGGGAAGCATGTTCCGGTTATTTTAATGTTCTGGTTAATTGAGAACTAAGTAGGGTATATTGAACATAATTAAGGCTTTCTTTGATGATTAAGAATCTTGAAGTGCCCTGCAGCCATCATTCTAAATATCAATTATAAATCCCCATTGGTGGGAATATAGGAGATTGAGTTCAACCTGAAGTGACTTCCAGGCCAACTGCAGGAAATTCATTTTTACTGAACCCCCAATACCAACATGTTATTTTCCTCTTTTCCTAGACAGCTAGCACAAGGAGAATTCTGCTTATTAGAAGCTTTCGGCGGTTTGAATCACAGCTCATCGAGGTTTCCATACAACTGTTCAGAGATTAGAAGGACGCTAAGAATGTTGGCTTGTTACACCTGATTGTCAAATCAAACAAATCTAGCCAGATAAAACATTCTTAGACTTATTTTGCAAATGTATTTTGAGGTCCATTCCCACCGCCCACACTCCTAACCGGGATTCAATCTTGCCTTTTATGCATCGGATAGAATGAGAGAGAAGACACTAAGTCAACGGGATATTGAAAGTCCTCTGTCCTTGTTCCAGTACCCCTATTAAGTAGTTACGTGACCTTGGGGAAGCATTTCCCACTTCTAAGACTCAGTGACCTTGTCTGTACACTGGAAGGTTGGACTTACTGGTTCTTAAACTTTTTAGGGGTACAGAGCTTCCAAAAATCAGAGGAAAACTAAGATAGTTTTGCACAGCAGGGGAAAATGAAGATAAGTGCAAAACGTTTCCATTCTAAATCAAGGGGTGGGGTCATGGACTCCCTGAAGCCCATCCTCCTGGGACACCCATCCACCAACTTCAGGTTTAAAATCCTAGAGTAGAAGAGCTCTCGAGCCCCTTTCGGCTCTGGCATTCTCAGCATCCAGTTAAGTGCAAGCACCTACCCACATTTATAGAGCAGTGGTCTTGGCCTTACCTGCACGTTGAGACCACCTGGGAAGTTTTCACAATTCCCTCACCCAAGTTGCTCCCCAGACCAATCAAATTTGAATTTTGGCAGGTGGGTCCCAGGTGGCAGTATTTTTTTTTAACACTCTCCAGGTGATCCTAGTCTGCAGACAAGTTTGCAAGCCACAGCTCGAGAACAAGAATTCTCAAAATTAGGAGTGAACAGAACCACCCAGGAGGGAGGCCCCTTCCCCTGATGGTTCTGCTTCCTTCTGGCCAGATCTGGAAAGATGCAGTATTAGCAGGTGTCCTGGGCAATTCTGATGCAGACCACTCTTTGGGAACCCAGTAACATGCCCATTCAGTAGGAGAAGCCCAGAGGAGTCCTCTCCCCTGCTATTCCTTTCCTCGTGGGCAGTTCTGGTCCTCCCCGCAGGTCACCTGCCTTGTTCAGGGAAAGCTTTAGCAGCTCTTCATTTGCCATCCTTCCCATCTCTAGCAAGCCTGGATCTTATAGTCTGAGCCTCTAATCCCACCAGGTTCAATCATTTCAGCAGAGCACTCATCAACATCGTCGTGTTTAATATTTAAACACCATAGCATCACTCAGGTCAGCCTCAAGGTGAGAGCTGCTCCTGACTCCTATGCTATTGCTGGTCAGCAAACAGGGCCACTGGTGCCAGAGGGGACTGCGGGAGCACAGCTCCAAGGCAGGCCTGGCCCACAAAGACCCAGCCCGCCAGCTTCAGCACCTCTCTACCTCTTCCTACCTGAAGCGTGCGCAGCAGGACCTGCAGCCCACTGGCTTCTTGTTCGGCCATCCCCTCCTCGCGTCCTGGGGAACCGGCTGCCTGCGGCCAGATCGGGGCTGGAGAGGCAGCGGCTGCCAAGTTGACCTCACCGCTCGCCTCGCGGGAGCCTGCTGCACGGAGGCCTCAGCTGCACATGCTGCTGAGTGTGAAGCCACTGCGGTGCAACCCTAGACCTCTGCACAGGCGCGGATGCCCCCCGACTCCCACTGTGGGGATTAGGTGAGTCCCGGCCTGGGGAGGGCTGAGCATTTGGGCGCGGGGGTGGAGAGGGCACCAGCGTGAGTCACTCACCCACCTCCAGGCCCACGCAGGAGCCACCCTGGATGGCTGACAGGCATTCCCAGCTGACCTGGTCAGACTCCCTGCAGAGGCTCGCTCGGCCCTCCCCGCTTGTCCCCCCCTTCTTTATTTTGGTCTGTTGCCGGCTCCCGGGTAACAGGAGACCCAAGAACGCTTGCACAACCGTGGCCATGCAGGGCACAGAAGCCCAGGGCCCCCTGAGGTCCCAGGCTTAGAGACTGGAGCTCTGGCTGAGAAGGAAAATAACTGTGCTGGACATTTTCTACAGACCAGGTCCCTTATATAATCTGCCAGCTTTCACAATAACCCTGTGGAGGTGGTACCATTATTCCCACCCCACCCCACCCCACCTCAGTTTTACAAATGAGAAAACTGAGGCACAGAGATGTTAAACCATAAAGACAGGTCGAAACGGGCAAGCTGGCACCGAAGCACAGGCGGTCACCGTTACACATCCTGCCTCTTGCTGCTATAAACACATTGATCAAAGTAATGGAGGCCTGAGAGGCTGCCCTGGCCCCATTTCCTCCAGACCAATGTAGCATCCAGGATCTCTTTCTACATCTTCTGCTTGGAATGTGTGAGAAGACTTGGTGGCTAACTAGCCATCTAATCCTCCTCCCCGTGTCAGCGCCTAAGCGTCTCGTAGTCCTTCAGATGCTGGCTTCTCAGCTTGCTTGGGGGCATCACCTGGAAGTTTGTTAGGGCCCACCCAGAGCTCTTGAATCAGAATCTGCATTTTCACAAGATCCCAGGGGATTCATAGCTGGGTAACAAAATCACTAGAGGATTAAAGTTTGGGAAGCCCCAATTTCGACCATATCGATCCCATTGCCAGAAACAGCCTGTGTGTTCGATGCCTGACAATTTTTGACCCTATAGCCAGGATCTAGCAAGTCTCAAAGCTTCACACAACTTTAGCGTGTGAAATTGGAGAGTGAGCTCATTGAGGTTCGTGACCGACAGAGAGCACAGCTAGTCGGGAGGGCCTCGGCTCTCGGCCAACACCCCGTGCAGCGTGTGGGGAGCTTTTGTGAGCATCAAAGCGGGCAGTTGGCAGCTGCCCAAACACATTGCAGTGACTGAGGAAAGAGAGGTTGTATTTCCTGATCCTACTTGGCCTCAATGTTCCAAAGTCCCGAGTCAGGAGTTAGGCAGTGTCTCAGTCATTCCCTCCTCAGTGCCAGATGCCAAGCCCCAAATTCAAGGACAAATTCACATGGTTCTCGCTCTCCAGAAACTTCCACTCTTAACAGCTTTAAATGGGAAGACTTCCCACGTTGGGAACTGACTAGAACATCTCACAGGAACTGGGGAGCCCTCTTGTTTCTTCACACTTCTACGACCTCTGACGACAGGATGGAAGAAATAAAGGTCCCTAAGGATTTCCACCTTCTACGAGGGGTGGAAATTTTCCGGGACACATTCTATGATCTTCTACAGTACAGGAGCTGGGGGAGGACTGAACAGTCCCACACGATTGTCTTAAGGCCGATTACTCTGTGCTCCTTGACTGCAGGATAAAGAAAACAGAGAGAAGAAAGAGAAAACAAGACCTCCCTCCCAACATACACTTAAAGAACGGTTTAAAGAAAAACCACCCCCGCAGTGAGATTTCATAAAAATGACCTCTGAGGACACACCTAAAGGCATTGCTGTCACACTCCTTTATGACCTCATTCAAGTAAAATAGCCCCCATTTGAAAGGGGGTCTTGGTTCAGCTCGCTGGGACTGCATAGGACAGAATGAGGTTAAAAACGCTATGCGTAAAGGGATCTTTCTCTTCTACATAATGACACCCTTCCTCCTGCAGCGCCATGAGCCTTGTCTCAGTAAGCCCCATGCAAAACAAAGCAAGAAGTGGGCTCCCTCTTTCTCTGGCGATGCACCTGCATCGCACGCTCAGCCTGGCTCCGCTTCCCCATCACCCCTGACAAAGCTCCACCTTCTGAAGAGTCACCACCCACTTGACCACGTGGATACACACGGTTGCCAGCCAAGGAATAACGTGCTGGTTTGCATCCTCATTCAAGCAAAATTAGGTCTCGCCTCTAGTTTGTTTCCAGCTCTCCATCACTCCTTCAGCACACTCATCCTTTGCTCCCCCAACACTTACACCTCAACCTTGCCCAGCAAGGACCCCACCAATCCTGCTCCCTGCCCCTACCCCTGCAGAACCTTCTTCACTCTCAGGCTTAGGGGCATCTTCATCCAAACCTCCCTCTCCTGGAGATGAGACTCTTATGAGAGTCCAGTTCCGTTCGTGGGCTGATTAATTTAGGCTGAAGGAGGAATGGGTGATAGTAGGTTAGAGTGAGTGTGCTTCCCCATTAGTATTTGAATTTTAGCAGGGATTTTCCTAAAACACAGGAGCTGAGACCCAAGCTTGGGCGATACCATATCTTACCCAGTAGATGGAAAGGAGTGCTCGTTAAACCACATGGGGCAGCCAACAGGGGCAGGTCAGGCCCAGGGCAGACCAGGGAGGGAGCTGCTCTGTGTGGAACAGAAAGACCTCCTACTTGCTTCACTTTCTACCTTTCGAAGGAGACATTTAAAGAAACCACCCCACAGATCCAAGCAGAAGCCCAGATAGAGCTTAGTCCTCTGGCTTCAAAAAAACACACATGTCATATGGTCGGGAGATTCCAATAATTCCCTAGAAAGACTTACAGAACTCAGAAAAGCCATGATACTCACAGTTATGGTTTATTACCGTGGAAGGATACAGATAAAAATCAGCAAAGGGAAGAGACACGGAGGGCAGGGGCCGAGAGAGACCGGGCATAGCTTTGGGTTGTCCTCTCCCAGGGGAGTCATGCAGACAGTGTTTATTTCTCCAAGCAACAATGTATTACAACATCACAGAGTATTACCAACCAGGGAAGCCCGCTCGAGCCTTGCTGTCCAGGGAGTTTATTGGGGGTTGCTCACGTAGACATGGCTGATCTTAGTCTCCAACCCATCCAGAGGCCAAGCTGAGACCACGTGGCCCAGAGTCCCTCCTAAATCACATTGTTTGCATAGACTATCTAGCATGGCCCAAACACCCAGGTAAACAAAGACACTCTTATCAGGAAGGACATTTCAAGGACTTAGAAATTAGCTCCTAGGAGCTGGGCAGGTGCCAGATCTTCCTTCAGGAAAGGCTAATCTTTTACTGCACACCTGCCCTCTCATCTCCATCATCTCAGGCTCAAGACTCTCATAACATCTTATGGGTAAGATGCAGAAATAAGTGCCGGCCTGTACAATTAGGAAGACTCAATCACTAGTAGAACGCCAGTACTCGAAGTGTGCTAATGAATAAATTGACACTGATGTAGGGGGAGTTTTCTAACAGCATCCAGAGAATTCAGTCCCCTGGCTCTTTCCTATTTAGCATTTTTTTCAATGACTTGGATGACAGCAAAGGCTGCATGCTTATCAGATTTTCTGATGACACCCAGTTGAGAAAGACAGAAATATGTCAGAAGACACAGTTGGAATCCAAAAAGATTTCAGCAGCCTTGAGTGCTGGACCAGAGCCTACAGGATGAAATATAACAGAGGCAAGTGGAAGCCCCTTTCCCTGGGTCCTCAACACCAACTGTGCAAAAATTGGCTAAACAGTGTCGAATATGGAAAAGACTTGAGGTTTAGCCAGAGCTGACACCAATATGAGTTGTCAGCAGGATTCACATCTCAAAGTGTCTTTTCAGTCTAATGTTATCGCCTTTAGAAGGGAGACAAACATTGTATCAGTAACCAGGATAGCAGTGAGGCTGAACTAAGGTCCCAGCTGTGCAGGGGCTCAGCGGAGTGCCTGGCACAGAGGAAGTGCCCATCGGTGAGAGCTATGGTATTATTATCATGGACAGCACTAATAAAAGTGCCATAACTGCCACAAAGGAGACCCCAGGCCTGCTCAATGCTGCTCAGCCTCTAGAGGTACATGGCAGCTATCACCACGGCATGAAAGGATGTAAAGGATGGATGAGTTCTGAAGGCAAGAACCAGGAGCAGAGGACTTGCTGTAAGGAGCCCGATTTGGGACAAGTGCAGGAGTGTCCTGAGCTCGTTCAGCCACCGCACAGGACTATTTCCCTGCCCAGCAAGGACTGGAAGACTATTTGGCCAGAAAGTTCCAGAGGGCAATTCCAGGACTGGGTGCCTTTGACAGGCTGTATGTCGGCAACTTGATGAGGTGAAGAGAAAGACAAGGTGCTCACTGGCCCCAGGTCACACAGCCAGGAGATGGCAAAGGTGGAACTAAGCCTCCTTCTTAACTGGCTCTCTAGAGTGTGTCTCCCCGGTAGCACAGGAGATGGATTTTGGTGGAACCTGGATAAACAGTTTAAATTTCAAAAGACAGGTTATATTTCAACCTATATTTGAAAAAAATACCCAATTAGCATAATAAAACCGTGTTTTCTCTGGTATTAATTCTTATGACAAAGTTTAAAGTTTAAAAATGAGTCAAAGTTAAATAGTACACATGGTGCCCAGGCACAGTAAAATCCAGAGTGACGGAGGTTAATAGCAAAAATTATGAAAGGATCGCATTGCTCCACGCTTCCTATCTAAAACTTAGCTCAGATAATCTTTTCCCTAATCTGACAGTGAGATCAAATCTCACTCATAATAGCTAACACCCCTTTTTCTCAGATACATTTTAAGTATAAATGATTAGTATAAAGATTTACCGGAGTACACACACGTGACCAGTCTACCTATAATGGCAATTTACATATAATGTTCCTATCTTGAATCTTTCCATTTCCTGCTCTGGTTTTCTTCATTTTGACTTTCCTCTTTTTTTCCCTGCCTCATCTCCAGCACACACATGTGCATACACACTGGCGCATGCACACACAGACACACACATGCTCCATGACCTTCTGCCCATCAGAACAAGGATCCTTGACAATACGATATCAGAGTTGATAGACTGCCCCCTTGTCCCTCAAAAGATTTCCTTTGCCTTCTCCTAGTTCATGAAATTCCTAAGTTGGGGAGCAGAGGAGTAGAAGGAAAGGAAATCTGGGTACAAGAGCTGCTGGTTCGTGCACGTTGTCTAATTTAACTCTTGTACTAGCCCGCTGAGGCAGACATTATTCCCATTTCGGGATGAGGAAACTGAGGTCGAATTATGCGCAGAAGTTGCACGGGTGTTTAATCCTGGATCCGTCAGCCGCATGGCCCGTGCTCTCCAATGAGAAGAGAGGCTACAGGGGCCAAATCCCCTGGAAGGGAAATTCCCAAGAGATTTACATTCATGGATGACAAATGCAGATTGCTTCTTGAGAGTAGAGGAGAGTGTAGGTGGCCGGAGGGCACGCCCTGCCCCCAGGTTGGAAGCACAGCCCCCAGGAGTCTTAGAAAGACGCTGGCCTAGAAAGACAAGGAGCTACTTAGATGCTCACCAATGCTCAGGCAGAAGAGGAGGCCAGCGAACAGAGACCTCCTCCACCATTGTACCTGGGACCAGCCCTTCCGACAAGCCTCTCTTCACTCTAAACACGGAACACCAGGGATCAAACTTTTGCTCCTTTGCCTATTAACTATGCGACTTGGGGAAAGTTACCTAAACTTTCTGTGCCTCAGGTTTCTCATCTGTTAAGTAGGGGATGATAATGCCTACCTCATAGGGTTGCTGGGAGGATTAATTGGAGTAACACAATGTTCTCAGCCCAGTGCTTGCCATCTAGGAAGCACTCAATGTATGCAGTTGTTATTGATATTATTACGATGATTATTGCGATTGTTACTGATTCAATAATACCTACCTCAAATAATTGGTGGGAGGATTAAATGAGCAAGTGACTAATGTAAGGTGCTGAATGGATGAGAAATTATTAAGCCCTGGACTTCCGCTGAATTAGAGGGTAGTTGGTAGAGGAATTGACTTGACATCCATATTTCGGCCCAATGAGGAAAACTGTTTTGTGTCCTCATCTTTCCAAAGCATCTCTGAAATGAACTCCTGTAACCACAAGGCCCCTGAGAGAAAGCCTGCAGCTGCCTGAGCTGAGAGACCAGACAAAGCAAAGCAGATGCAGATGAGCTCAGCATCGTTCTGGTTGGCAGGACAGAGAGCCTCAACACCACCTACCATGGACAGGAGCCCAAGGCAAACCAAACCTACAGGAGACATGGCTTGATCAACACTGGGTGCTTTGCCCTTTCAGCAAGCACTAACTCAGGACTCTATTCTCTATACAGTGTTTTCTATAGCTATGTCTTAAAAACTGTACGTTATTCTCAAATGAAAGTGAATGTGGCCATTTTTCACTGACACATAAACACTCAAAGAACTATCCAAAAATTGTCATGTCTGGACCACTTCATATGTGGCCATTAGATTCTGCAGCCCAGAGTAGACAGAACAGGTGAACAACCATCCTTGCTGGATGCTACAGTGGCATTGTTTCTGGCATAAATTCAGGGCTCAATAAAAATAAGATGGTTTCCTTTGACATTGGAGAGCATTCTTGACCACCACTCCCCCAACTTAATTACCAGAGTCTTTATCATATGTGTCCAAGGTTGAGACAGCTCATGATCTGCCTTTTCTTAGCTATGAATCCTGATCTATTAAACATGGCATCCAGGTGGTAACTGGTTCTCTTGTGCTGTCTTAGAATGTTCTTCCATCCCTCCTGGTTGATGTGGAGCAAAACCCAGATCCTTCAGGACCTATGGAGAGTGACAGGATGCAAAAGTCAAACAAGGAGGCTAGGGCTTCCTAGAATAGTGAGGAGGGGTTTCAGTGGCAGCTGATTTATCCTCTTTGTCTTAATCTTTCTCACCCTTCCCCCACCCCAACCACATAACATCACCATCCAAGTCCCCACACCTTTGCCATCTAGCATGGAGCGATAAGGATTATAATTAAGATGAGCTAACACAGGAAGGAGATTGCATAATGCTGTGTTTTCCCAAGGGGTTTCCTCAGATCCACATAAGCCTTGCTTTACAACATAATCTTTTTAGTCAGGCTCAAGGACCCCTTTACTTGTTTCTGTATAGATTGTGTTTTCTGTTAGAAAAGAATGAGTTTTTTTAAAATCTCTCTTAAGTTTTGTCAGACAGACTTTTCTTAAGTTATTCCAGAAACCCCAAAGGGTTGTTATTACCAAAAAGGAATCACTGATCCCAGTAGCAAATACATATTAGCTCAACTGAATTGTTTTTATCAGAGAATGTTAGAAGAGCAATTGACTCTGTAATAATCTTTATTGTTTATCTACTTTTTTACTTCATTAATTTCTGCTCTTTATGATGTCCTTCATTCTACTTGCTTTGGATTTAGATTGCTTATGTTTTTCCAGCTTCTTAAGATAAAAACTCAGATCATTGACTTTAAGTCTTTCTTCTTTTCTAGTATAAGCATATAAAGCTATAAATCTCCCTCTATGTACTGCTTTAGCAGCATCTTACAAATTTCCATGTGTGTGTTCATTATCATTCAGTTCAAAATATTTTCTAATATTTGACATATGGGTTATTTAGACATGTGTTTTTCTTTTCTTTCCTTTTTTGAAGAAGAAGAGGATTAGCCCTGAGCTAACATCTGCCATCAAATCCTCCTTTTTTGTGCTGAGGAAGATTCGTCCTGAGTTAACATCCATGCCCATCTTCCTCTACTTTATATGTGGAACACCTCCCACAGAATGGCTTGATGAGTGGGGTATAGGTCTGCACCTGGGATCCGAACCAGCAAACCCCAGGCCACCAAAGTGGAGTGCATGAACTTAACCTCTATGCCACTGGGCCAGCCCCTAGACATATATTTTTTAACATACAAATATTGAGACTTCACCAGAGTTCCTATTATTATAAATTTAATTCCTTGTGAATTCCACTATGGACAGAGAATGTATTCTAAAAGATTGTAAGATTTCAGTCTTTCAAATTTATTGACAAGTTTTGACCCAGCATAAAGTCTATCTTGAAGAAAATTCTATATATATATATAAAGAAGGTATATTCTGAAGATACTGGGTGTAGCATAACATAAATGTCAGTTAGGTGAAGGTGGTTGACAGTCTTGTTCAGATCTTCTATATCCCATGATTATGGATTTGTCTATCTTTCCCTTTAGTTCTGTTAGTTGGAGCTTCGTGTATTTTTAAGCTCTGTTATTAGACAAATACACATTTATGATTGCTATGTTCTCCTGATGAACGACCCTTTTATCATACTGAAATGTCACTCTTTATCTTTGGAAATATTCTTTGTCTTAAAATCTGTTTTTCCTGATATTAATATAGTCATTCCAGGTTTATTATGCTATAGTTTAGATGGTATATCTTTTTTCATCCTTTACTGTCAATCTATCCGTATGTTATATTTAAAGCCATTTCTTGTACAAAGAATATAATTGGGTCTTGCTTAGTTATCCAGTCTGACAATCTCTGCCTTTTAATTGAAGTGTTCAATTTATTTAGATTTAATGTAATTATTGATATAGTTGGCTTTACATTATGCCATTGTTTTTCTATTTGTCCCATCTGTTTTTAGTTCCTCTCCTCTTCTTTTCCTGCCTTTTTTGGTGTTAATTACATATTTTTTGATATTCCATTTTAATTCTGCTATTGACTTTTCAGCTCTAACTCTATGCATGATATTTTAGTACTTACTCAAAGGATTACATTGTGCATCCTTGACTAATCACAGTCTAGCTGGAGTTTATATAGTACTACTTCATGTAAAATATAATAACCAGACAACAGAATATCTCCATCTGCCTCACCTGCCTAGCCTTTTGATATTGTTGTCATATTTAGTACTCTGTGTTTGTTATAAACCCCACACAATATTAATTTTGGTTAAGACAATCACATGTCTATTAGAGAAATTATGAGAAGAAAAATATAGTCTTTTCTTTTTACCCACATTCTTACCAGCCCCAGTGCTTGTCATTGCTTCCTGTAGATATGATTTTCTCTCAGGAATCATTTTCCTTCAGCTTGAAAATATTTCTTCATTATTTTTGAAATTATAATCTACTGGCAACAAATGCTCTCAATTTTTACTGGTTGGAAAATGTATTCATTTTGTCATCATTTTTAAAGAATATAGAATTCTGGGATACTGGATGGACAGTTTTTCTTTTTTCTTTCAGCATAGTAAAGATGTCATTCTGCCTGTCTTCTTGCCTCTCTTCTTTTTTTAAAAAAAATCTGTCATCATATATATCAATGTTCCCCATATGTGATGTGTCATTTTTCTTTGCCTGCTTTCAAGAATTTTTCTTTCTCTGATGTTTGTCAGGCCTACCACATAATACCTAAGTGTGGCTTCCTTTGTATACATTCTGCTTGAGTTCAGTGAGCTCCTTGGATTTGTAACTTTGTGTTTTCCACCAAATTTTGGACATTTTCAGCATTATTTTTTCAAATGTTGTTTCTTCTCCATTCTTTCCACTCTCCGTCTTGGACTACAACTAAATATATGTTAGATCACTCAGTATGGTACCACTGGTTCCTGAAGCTGTGTTCATTTTTTTTAAGACGTTGTTTCTCTCTTCTTTGGATTGTATAGTTCCTATTAATTTTCCAAGTTGACTTGCCTGTCATCATTTTTTAATTTCAAGCAATTTCATTTTTTAATTTTTACCCATATAATACCCATTGGGTTATTTTTTATACTTTCCATTTTTCTATTGATTTTACCCATCTGTTTATTCACTTTGACCATATTTTTCTTTAAGTTCTTGAGCATATTTAAAATAGATGTTTTAAAGTCCTAATCTGCTCATTTCAAAATCTCAGTTATTTTCTATTGACTGCTTTTTCTCTTAAGTATGGAATTTTTTTTTTTCTGTTTCTAGACACATCTAGTAACGTTTTATTGATTGCAAGACACTGTGATTGAAATATAGTGGAGATTGTAGATTCTGCCATTAGAAGGGCACTTGGATAACCTGTAATTCATTTTTCTTCATTTACAAATTATGAAAGTGAACTCGGGGGAAAAGCATTTACCAATGCACACAGATAATTGTGGCAAACTGAATCTCTACCCAAATATCCCAGGCTGAGCCTCAGTGTCTTCCCAATTTTCCAACTTGAAAACTTACTGCTTTTTTTTCTAAATGTATTCCTTAGGAATAACATTTTCTCTTCTTAAAGAAGAAATACTAAGCCCTTGCCTGATTTCTGTGCCTTCAGATCACTCACCCACTCTTCTAGACCTAGGGATGCTACTGGTATTGCTGCTATTAATGATACCTACTCTTTGTCAAGGACCGTGCTTACATTACTGCGTGCCAGCTGCTGTGCAGGAGTTGTACTTACTTTATCTCACACTAAACCATATCTTCTTTTGGCAGCTTACCCTAACACTGCTCTGTCTGCTGGCAGAATTAGATACCCCCTTTTCTATGTCTCCAAAGCACGCGCAAGTATAACATAGTACTGATGATACACATTACAGTAATTAGTTTATGTGGACACATTTTCATTAGGCTTTAAGTCTTCCAAGGGTCAGAGGAGCCCACTATGTCCATAACCCCCAGCACAGTGCTAGGCGTGTATTAGTTGGCAGAAAATATTGGGTTCCAGTGGCCTCTGGCAAAAGGAGAGAGCCCACCTTTGGGCTAGCTATATGCCAGTGTTCCCAGCCTTGTCAGCAATTGGCAGCTCAAAGGTCACCATATCCTTGGCCCTAGGAGGCAGAAGGCCGACTCCCTGCTCAGCATCTACTTGGGGCTTTGTTGCCATGGACACCCGATAAAGTTCTTCAGAGAGGGCCAAGATAATCTCCATCCTCTTGCCTAGACTGGTCCCATCAGTGGCCAGACCTGGAGTGCTGACAGGTGTGGAATGTCCATCAGTTGGGCCAGCCTAGAGGCTTGTGGCTTCTGGGCCCCAAAGCTGAAGTATCAGGTCACAAACAAGCTGGAATCAGGGGCTCCTAAGGTCAGGCTGCCCAGAGTGGGGCAAGGGCGAAATAGAGATATCAGCCATCAAGGCTACCAGTCCAGATGCTTCCTTTTGCTTCAGTGAAGGCTGTGAAGACTGCAAGCCAGGAGTACAGGAACCAAATGCCAAACCAGATAGGGGAGGGAGGGGCTATGAGGATGAGGCCACGCTCCAGCGTGCGACATGTTCATTCAGTCATTCACTCTACACACATGTATTAATCATAGTTCTATAGTGGAAAGTATGCATAGTATCATAGCATGGTAGCTAAGAGCGAAATCTCTGGACTCAGACAACTGAGATTCACAGCCAGGTTCTGCCAATTCCAGCTGTGTGGCTTTTAACAAGTTACGTAAATTCTCTGTACCTCAGTTTCCCATCACTAAAGCAGGGATAGTGACACAAAGGGTTGTTTTCACTTAAATGAGTAATGCATTTGAAATGTGTAGCCCAGTGTCTAGCGTATAATAAATGATCAACAGATGTTAGTAGTTATTATTGGCGGGCCCTGGATGGCATCAAAGAAGTTAAGGTGAAAAATACACAACCCCTACCCTCCAAGAGCTCTTAGGGTGGTGGAAGAGATAGACCTGAACATGACCTTTTCCAGCGTGATTTAACCATGGCTGCTGCAGTATGGGAGCCCCAAGAAGAAAGGAACTTCTGCCTGGAGAATTTGGGGAAAGTTTCCCAAAGAATACGGTCCTAGCACTTGACCTCTGAGGAATTCCAAGCTGAAGTGAGCAGTGGGGCATTCTAGGTAATGTAGGAGTGTGCGAAAGGCATACCTGTGTAAGAGAGTCTGGGATATTTGATATGATGAAGGGTTGATGTCCAAGTGATGGAGCCCTTGCAATGAAGCTGTAGAGGAAACTCAGGCCAAATAAAATAGTTTGATTTTCCACATGTGGAATGGGATCCCAATGAAAGTTTGTAAGCAGGGAAGAGACATACGTAAAGTTCACTGTCATGTTTAAATTTCTTCTCCCTCTTTGGAAATGTGAGCTTTCTCCAGCTCCACGTGAAATCAAGTGTATGGCAAATTCATAGCCCTCTTTCCCCACTCACACTAGGCTGTGAATGACTAATAAAGCATGATGCAGTGCACCACGAGAATTTACAGTTCACCAAGGGACAATTAAAATCTGGAGCATCATCTAGGAAATGAAAGAAGTCTTTTGAGCTTCAGGGGACCTCCCCAAATCCTCTCGCTCGTCTCTCTATGTTGGTGTCTAAGAAGTTCATTACAATGGGAGGTTCTCTTTATCAGTTAAACAATTGATTAGCAACTTCAGACACAGCTATCTTAGGATACCCAGTACCCTGTGAACATATCAGAGACTCTGGATTTCCCTCCTGGGACACTATAACCAACGCTTTCCTTGAGCCACCTGTCCTTGTACTAGTTCAGAGCTGAAACACCATTACAGTCTGGCTGTCTGTAAGGAGAGAGCAAGATCCATGGAAATGACAAAGTCCTTTGTCCTCCTTCTCAGTTTTTACCTCATCCCTCATCCGGTGGGACGTTTTCTTTTCACTAACCCATCTCCTTTTCTCACATACATAGATAATGATCTGAAGGTAGCCACGGTGACCAATTGGGACTCGGTCATGAGGAAGCTCAGAGAAGCATTTGAAATTTAAGACATCTTGTGTCAGCTTATAACAACAAAAGATGTCAGCTCGCTTTAGAGAATTATTAAATACCTGAACAGGTGGGAATGTTCAAAACGTAGAGAGGGCCAATCCTCAGTAATCTTGGTATTACTTCAGATGTCCTTCCAAAGTGACTTGAAAGTTGACATTTTCAACCTGTTTACGACACTTGAGTGCAGAGTTCACAAGGAAGAGCACGACAGGCAGACTCTAAGGTGCTCCCCATCCCCCACCTCCTGGTGCCCATGCCTTTGTGTGAGCCCCTCCCCTTGAGCATGGGCAGGACCTAGGACTTGCCTCTAACCAATAGAAAATGGCAAAAGTGATGAGCTGTCACTCCCACAACTACGATACATTCTATGACGCCACTTTGCTAGCGCACTAGCCCTAGAGACTCTCCTTGCTGGCTTGATGAAGTAAGTGGCCAAGTTGGAAAAGCCCGTGTGGCAAGGAACTGTGGGCACCTCCAGCCGACAGCCAGCAAGAAGCCAGAGGCCTCTGTCACACAGCCACAAGCCTGACTCCAGCCCCCCAGACTCTTCACCATTATGTTGACAGCCCGGAGAATTAAACTGCAGCCCTAGAAGACGGCCATGGCCACGAACAGACTGTCAGTCCCAGCTGGTCTCCCGTCTGTCCCTGTGTCCCTTCCCTCTCCCAGCCCTGCTCCTCCAGCATCTACTCGCTCTGCACAGGAATCCCAGGGAAATCGTTGGCATGCCTGCGCATCACTCACGCAGGAAAATGAGGACGCAAGAAGAGAAAAACTGGAAAATCTGATCAGGCTGGCTGAAAGGGGTTTTCATTACAGTGATTTACATGAATAGGAGCTCAAATTTGCATACCATTAAGTGTTTAAGATTAACTTGTGCACATTTTTATTTGATTTCAGCCTTAAATTCTTCATGGAAGCTGAGTCTCCGTGGTTTTCTCCCCCGCATAACAGAGCTTTAAAACAAAACTTAAAAGACCTGCCATGGTCAACGGATTTCTTCAAACTCACTAACTTTGCAGAAGGGGTGCTCCCTCAACATTAAAATGGCAGCTGGTACAAAGATGGATACTCACACAGACGCTGCTTTGAATAAGAAATCGCATTTTCATGGTAAGCTCTGCAAAGCCAGGGCAAGAGTTTGCATAACACCTGTGACCCCCTGCCAGGACTGGCCCAATGGCGGTTTGGGGTTTTGTCATTTTCCACAAGCAGAAAGGACTTAATATGCACTTTAAGATGGAAAGAAAACCTGCCTGTGGGATTAGGCTACACCTGTCCACTGGACTTTGAGTGCCGTGTGTCCCGCCGGCTGGCCCCTGTAAAATCTAATAACAGGACTTTACATAAGGACCGACGGTGGCACCGAATAGCTCCTTGCCCTGGTAAATGATCGAGAAGAAGAGGTTTTATGAGCTGCACCAGCACACCGCATCTTGATGTGATTAATCCATCTCAGGAAAGTGACTTTAAGAGCCAATTAAAGGCAGCTTAGAGGAGCTATTTTGCATTATCTCTTTATTCTGTTTCTGGCGACAATTGTACCTGTCAGGGAAGCTGTGAGCAACTATCAATTTCTGCAGCATGAAATTGCAGAGGAAAATAAGAGCCACTGCCCTGGGAGGGACCGCCGTTCATTTCAGAGTATGAATCCCAACCGCTGGGCTGGAGACCTCTGACTCTGCGTGGCTGCCAGCTGCAGGTGATGTGTTTGTGGGTCCTCCCTGCCCCTCCCGGTGACCTTCTGCTCGGGAACATGGGAACACAAAAGCCACCACCTCTAAATGCAGATTAGCACAGGAGCAAATACACTCCATCCTGCAGGAAAATCTCCTTTTATCACAATGAAGGAGGCAGAAGAGAAGGAGAAATGCTTCTATGTAGCAAATGAAATTATTTTCCTGCTTTAAAATGGCAAGCCCTGGGAGGAAAAGTAGCAGAAGAGGGGTTTGCTTCGAGGCAATGACTTTACTGACTCTTCTGTGTCCAAGGAGGTCACAAGGCATATTTGTAGGGGAAAGGCCAAATCCATGAACCCTCCCACTTCATGCTTCCCCCAGAGAACAGGGGCTGCCCCAGTGTAAATGGTCGAGGAAAGAGTTAAGGGCCACTGGAGAAAAGAACAGCTCGGAGTACCCAACCCTGAGGCAGGACAGACTGTCAGGAAGGCCTGGGCTGCCCCCAGAGGAAAGTGAACCCTCTGGGCCTGGAGAGACGGATCCCCTGGGTCCTTAGGTTACTACTACTTAGCGGGAGCCAGGGGCTCAGATGTCATACACAGGGAAAGGGCCGGCTCAGGTTCTGTCACTCAGCCTGGGTAGGATTACGTGTTTGTTCCGATGCCCGTTGACCCTTGGTCAGGACACACACCCGTCAGTCACCTCTCCAAGAGCTCAAGGCTGTGCGGGGTGGCCAGGGCCAGACAGAGGCAAGGCTGGGAAGCCGGGAGACTAGCTCGGAAGGCCCCTAAATTGTCCTGCTGGGAATGACAGGCATTTTCCAAACCAGATGTGGCTCATCTGTCACCATGGTTTGGTTCAGGAGCCCATGCAGCCCCGTTGCCTTCCCTGGGAAACAGGCACAACATAACTGGGCCTTGAGAAGGTAGTGTCGGAACCCAGCCTGCCCCAGCCCGGCTCTTCCTGCAAAGCCTCTGGCCTCAGTAAAGCATGCCTGTTCATTTCTCCCAGTCCTGTGCCCAAAGCCGCATCACAAATGTCCCCACCCCCACTTGCACACACACACGCCCAGGCGCACATACTCCGTCCCCTCTGCTTTTGCGAATTCCCTCAGTAACCGGCCAAAATTCCATCTCCTGCACAAGGCATTCCCAGAGGCCTTGCCCGGGGAGGAATAGCTTTGTGTCCCTATGCATCTTCCAAATTGTGCCCTGTCTCTGTCGTGTCATTTCCCGCAAGCTCTCATACCGGACCGTATCATGCTTAGCATCCTGAGCCAGATCACGTCCATCTGTGCATCTCCAATGCCCAACTCAGGACCTGGAATGACAGAGATGCTCAGGAAGTGTACGCAGAAGAAAGGAAGAAAAGGAGGGAGGGGCAGAGGCAGGCAGGAAGACTTACTTTTACGTGAGAGTTAGCTGGCTTCCTTAGGTTCCTGGAGATAGACACAGGAGAAAGCAAAGACAGGAACCAACAGTGATTAATACATATATGTATCTGGCATTATTCTAAGCACTTTATTTCCCTCATTATATTTTATACATGAAAAAAACTGAGGCTCAGAGCAATTAAGCAACTTTCCCAAGGGCACCCAGCTAATGAAGCTCAGAACTATAATTTTGAATCGGGCCCACCTGATTGGAATGTGCACCCTTTTTCTCTGACAATATTGTCTTCTTAGGCTCATAAAATATTAGGATTGAAATGCACCTTAGAGATAATCTAGTCTGAACTGTTTGAGGCCCAGAGAGGTTAAGTCATTTGCCACAGGTTGCCCAGCTGGTCCATGGTAGAGTCAAGAACGCTTTTCTCTTAATTCCCATTCTGTTGCTTTTGACATCAACGCCAGCCTCTCAGAAAAGCCATAATGAAATGCGATATTATCCTATCAAATCAAGTTGTTAAGAAACAGATGTTTCCCCAAAATATTTGGGAAACAAGCTTAGCCCATTTGGTCTTCCCAGAGCAGCTGGGGGTGCGTAAATACCCTCAGGAAGCACATGGAGGAGGTGGCCAGCTCCACAGGCTCCCAGATGCTCCCGGGAGGAGGTCTGTACCTGGAGGAGAAGGAACCCTCGGGAGAGCTTCTATTAAGGCTTCCAAACCTGTCCTCCAGGTGAGAGGATGAAACGATGCCAGGAACGGGACTTCCATTGCCTTCCTCGCGAAATTATCCATGCGATGGCTCTGCTGTGTGTGTCTTCGCACCTCAGTAGCTTTACAGCCCATCAGCATCTCTCCATCATCCTGTGAGGTGGGCTGCTGTGCTGTCAGCATTTTCAGGATGGGCAAATGGACGTGCTCAGAAGAGAAGATACCTGCTTAGTTAACAACGGTACTTCACCAGCCGGGCAGGATCCACCATCGCAGCCTCCAGGCCACTGGGCTCCACCAAAAGGGGCTTGCTTGGCTCCTGTCTTTCTCCCGGATGGATTTTCCTCTTGTCTCCTCCTCATTTTTGTCCTTGTTACTGCTCCCTCTACTGTGTACTCTTCTCCTGCAACCTTCCCCTGGCTTGTCCAACTCCTTGTTACCAGGAGACGCACTCAAGTTCTGGAAACAAGGCATCTCTGTCAGCTGAGAAGAGCACTGGGCCCAGGGGTGGGAGAACCAGAGCCCTGCACCCTCTTTGCCAGCCCTTTGCTGTTTTATCTCCAGCGAGTGGCTTGAGTTCTCTGCACTTCTCTTTTCCCCTTTGGAAAACAAGGATGCTTTTCCAGGGCTCCCTCAACTGTGACAGGCTGTGATTTACTCCAGGCCACTCTGATGTCCACTTTCTGACCTCCAGCACTTGATAGCATTGCGGTGCAATTTAGTAATTCATTACACACAGTCACCTTATCCAACAACTGCTTCCCGCACAGTCTCATCTTCCTAGTAAGTGTGTGACAGCTCAAAGGCAAGACACAGGGCTAACGTTTCTGGTTTCTTCTCTGCGACATTTCACATAGTGATGAAGAAATATCGGGTGCTCAGAAAACCAATTAGATTAATTAGTCAGTTGCGTGCAAAAAGGTCTTGCCTCGCCGGTATCCCACCACCACCTTGGAGGACCAGAAGAAGAACAAGGAGTGTCGAAGAGAAGGAATCAAGCTAGCCCTTCCAGAATCTGACCGGAGAAGAAGGCAGGCTGGACCCCACAAGGAAGGTACATACCCAGGTGTCCAGGATGTGAGGTCTGGGCCTGGGGTGTGGACACCTGGGAAGCGGCAAGCCAGCTGACATCCAGGAAACAATGTAGAAAGGCTGAGAAGGTTAAGAAACAGCAGGAAAGGGGAGTCAGAGGCAGGATCACTAAAGGAACCTCCAGGTCTGAGTGGCACGGTTGAAAACTGGTTCAACGACTAACTCTGAAAACACAGCCCACTGGCCAGGTCATCCCCACTTCAGGTGGCAAGTTCTGCTTGGAGGGGTCAGAGGCTGGTTCTACGTGAGGGGGAACCAGGCCTTCAGAGGTCAAGGCTGTTTCCTTCCTTTCTTTTTTTGCTGAGGAAGACTGGCCCTGAGCTAACATCTGTGCCCATCTTCCTCTACTTTATATGTGGGATGCCTGCCACAGCATGGCTTGCCAAGCAGTGCCACATCTGCACCCAGGATCTGAACCGGCGAACCCCAGGCTGCCAAAGTGGAACGTGCGAACTTAACCGCTGCACCATTGGGCCAGCCCCTGTTTCCTTCCTTTCTCCTAGCCCCGCACTTCTCTGTGTCACCAACTGCACTGATTCCAGCCTTCATGGAAGGTCAGTTTGATGATATACTTTCCCCTCTATGTGGGTTTGTTTCCTTAGAGGGTGATGGGCTCTGGGACCAGACTACTTGAGTTTAATCCTGGCTCCCCACTTCCGAGCCTAACGAGCTGTGTGACCTTGACCTTGAACAAGTTGCTTTTCTTCTCTGAGACTTGGTTTCCTCACCTGTAGAACGAGCATGATAGTCATCCCCACCCCCATTGTGAGGGTTGTTGAGACGATGAAACGAGTTAATATATTTAAGGTCCTTACAACAAACAGTTCCTGACACATAAGTATGATTGCCGGTTTTTGTCCAGTTTTAGCAAAATACTCCCCCAAGTAGCTGAGTGCCCATCCTGTCAGGTTCTCCCCATTAAGAACAAAGTGAGCTTCCTGTTGGCAAAGTGAAAAGGTTCTAGGACACACCTGAGTGAGTCACCTTTGGCAAATGTGTTTGGAAGATGTTTTTCTCTCACAATTTGTCTCACCCTTAGAGTGACAGGGAAATAGAGTCAGCTTGAAATTATTTCATTCTATAAAGGATTGGTGCTCATCACATGACGTAGACACTGCACTGGGCTTATATAAAGTAGAGACCCCGAGCTTGGTGCATTTACATTCTTGTGGGCAAGACAGGCAAACGGCAAAATCCCTTTGATACAGAATGTACCAGGTCCTCTGGCAGAGCTACAAAGTGTTACGTACACCCGAGGAGGAAGGAGGAGTTTTTATAAGATGGACATCATTCTGTTGCAAAAAAAACAAAAACCCTAGCTTGAATGAAAGGGAAATAGTTTGTTGTGAAGATATTGCAGTATCTTGCAGGCACCAAAGGCAAGAAGAGGGTTAAGTTTATTCATTCACTCAACAAACGTTTATTGAGGGCCTCCCATGTGCCAGGCTCTGGGGACACAGCAATGAGCTACAGGAACAAAATCCCTTCCCTCTTACAGCTGATGTCCTGGTGGAAGAAGACAGACAACAAAAAGAGTAGAATGTGTAGCCTGTTAGGAGAAAAAGAGACCGAACAGCAGAGGAGGAGGATGGATAGGAGTGAGGACTAGCAGGATGACGATGTTACACACGATGACGACGTTACACACGATGACGACGGAAAGCCTCACCCAGACGGTACTGTTTCAGCAAAATCTTGAAGGAGATGAGGAAGTGAACCCTACTGATGCCTGGGGAAAGGGTATTCCAGGCAGAGGACCAGCTGATGCAAAAGCCAACAACAGGGACAGCCCAGGAGGCTAGTGTGGTCCAGAGCAGTGAGCAAGGGAGAGTCATAGGAGATAAGGTCGGGGGTAAAGGAAGGCCAGATCCCGTAGGGCCTCCAACATCAGTGTAAGGACTTTGGCCTTTAGTCTGAAGGAAATAAAACCCCTTTGGAGGGTTTAAGTAGGTTTCCTGTGAATCGGATGTGGGATGTGAGTGAAAGAGAAGAACCAAGGATTCTCAGGACTCATATCCGACACATGCAACTGCCTTGGCATCACCTCCACTTAGCTTTCAGACAGGCTGCTCCATTCACCACGGACGTCACAAGACTCCTGATTCACACCCGAAAACCTGATTTCTCCAGAGTCTTCTCCATCTCAGAAAATGAAACTCGATTCTTCCCATTGCTCATCTGGACTCCACTCTTTGTCTCCTACCCACATTTAATTCAAATCCACTAACAAATCTGTCTTCTCCACCTCAAAACACACAGAATCCAGCTCTCTCTCTAGCCCCCTCTACTGCTGCCACCTTAGCCAAAAGCCTGGAGGATGGCCGTGGCCGCTAACTGGCTCCCTGCCTCTGCTCCTGCCCCCTATAGTTCATCCTGCACACGACAGCTCAAGCGATTCCTTTAAATCAAATCAGGTTATGCTCTCTTTTGGCATCTCTCCATCCTACTTAGAGCAAAAGCTTAAGCCCCGGCAACAGCCAACCAGGGTGTTGGTCCCTGCGTCTCCTCTGTCCTCATTTTGCATCACCCTCCCATCTGCTCACTCTGCTCCAGCCCCAACTACTTCCTTGGCATTCTGTCAAAATACCACTACAGACCCCCCTTGGGGATCTTACCCTTGCTGCTCCTTCTGCCTGGAACACCATCCCCCCACAGGTCCACATCCCCTGATTCCTTATTTTATTCAGATCTCTGCCCAAATATCCTACTAGAGAGTCTTTCTCTGGCCACCCTCTATAAAACAGCACCTGTTCCAAGACTCGTTATCACCCTTGCTTAGCATAAGTCTTCTCCGTAACACTTACCAACACCTGACAAGTTTATTTATTGACTACCCCATTAGAATGTAAGAGCCATGAAGGCAAAATGTTATCACTTCCATTTGCTATATTATCAATGCCTACAATAGGGCCTGGCCCAGAGTAAGCATTCAGTACATTTGTTTGATGGATGGGAGGATGGATGGATGAATGACTAGAACTATAAATTTGAAACCCTCAGGAGCCAAGACAGTGTCTCTCTTTCTCTGCACACTTATCCTCGCCCCCCCAACTCTGTCTCTCTCAAAAGAGCAAATCGTATTGACCTTGTTCATTTCTGTTCTCGGAGCTATGTCTTGATGAGAACAATCACACTGTGTGCAAATTCTTTGGATAGATGGTAGGGCAGGGAGGAAACGGGAGGGCCCCCTGGCATAGAGGCAATACACATAGGACTTGGCAAAGAATTCACTAGAGGAAAATAACAGAGAATACTAAAACACGTGAGAGACTTCCAGGAAGTACAGAGGGAGGGGTTTGGAGAAAGAGAAGCATTATGTAATTGTAACAATAACCTCCAGTGTAGGGTGATACTTTGGAGAAGGAAGGCTGGAACAAGTAGGCAAGTTGGGGCCAGATCACAAAGGCTGGGTAAAGAAGTCTAATCTTCATTCTGTAGATCTCAAGTTGCCACTGTGGTCAAAGGGGTGGATAGTGGCAGTATTTGGTCATTCTCCTCTAAGTGAGCTATCTATTCACAGACTTCTACAGCCATATTACAAAGCTGTACATTCATATACGTTGGAGCCAGAGAGCTGTGCTCCACTTCCCAGATTCACCCATGCCATCTCTTGGCTATGCCAACGTCTCTGTCCAAAGGGATCATATGCCGGAGCTCCTCTTGGGAAAGCAGCTTTCCTCAAATCTCATTAAATGCCATGCTACAAACAGAAATTAAGAATCCCTCATGTGCAGGGAAAGTAAACTCTTGGCTCCAATTTCTGAGTTGTTTTGTTGGCATGAACAGATATACATAAATGGAAGAATTAAATGCTATTCACAAGAAGACATAACCAGGAGGTTCATTGTGCATTCAGACCCTTCTAGTTCAGTGGGCCTCAAACTTGGCTGCCAATCACAATAACCTGGATGAAGCCTGGGTCCCATCCATGGAAATTCTCGTTGAGTTGTTTGGGCATGGAACCCTGGCATGGGAATTTTTAAAATTTCAACCCAAATGTGCAGCCAGGATTGAGAACTACTGCACCAAGAGGAGATCTGAGAAGGAAACGGGCTTTATGGACAGGAGGTATATTAAACACTGGGACGAGCCTGGAGAGGATCTTATCTGGTGACCAAGACAAGACAAGATGTCTTGTCCAGACCCCTGGACCAGGTGGTCCAGTCCACTCTGAATTAGGTGTTGAAGGCTTAGGTCCAGGCTGCAGTTGGCAACTTGGTGATTTGGGATACTCAGTCAACTCGTTTCCATCTGGGTACAATATCTGAATGTTACAGATACAACAGACTGGGCCACCATATAGGATGTTCAGGTTGTATTCCACATAAGGATTTCTGGCTGAGGGAGGGAATAGAAGCTGAAATTCTGCCTGGGACCCATTCATCTTGCCTTGCGCACGGCAGGGTGCTACACCACCCAGAGAAAGGTGTCTCACGGGCTAGCCACCACTCAGGGTAGAAGGTATGAAAACCACTTCTTGGACTAAGTGATGTTCTCCACTTCATCTGCTAACCCCCCATGCTGAGCCCACACTGCCACCGAATCCACAGATGGCTTGCCCACACACTACTGTTTTCACCAGACTTCAGCCACATCTGTTCACAACCTGGTTTGCCAATTATTGCAGCTGTGTAATTTTATTAAATATTATCTAAACCAATGAAATATGAGTGCAAAAGATTTTATTTCTATGGAAATGAGTTTAATACTCAGGAAAATCACAACAAAAGCAGTAAACCTTAAAAATTACTATCCAGGGGTCTGGCCCCATGGCATAGTCGTTGGGATTGGCACAATGGGTTTGCATCTTGGGCACAGACCTACACCACTTGTCAGCTGTGCCATGGCAGCCACCTACATCCAGGATGGAGGAAGATGGGTACAGATGTTAGCTCAGTGCTAGTCTTCCTAAGGCAAAAAGAAAGACAGAGGAAGATTGGCAACCAATGTTAACTCAGAGTGAATCTTCCTCAGGAAAAAAAATATATATATATATACACTATCCAGAATGTAAATTGGTATAGCCATTAGGGCAAATAGTATGGAGGTTCCTCAATAAATTAAAAACAAAAAATATGGTATGATCCAGCAATGCTACTTCTGAGTATTTATCCAAAATAATTGAAATCAGGATCTTGAAGAGATACCTGTACTCCCATGTTCATTGCAGCATTATTTACAATAGCGAGATATGAAACAACCTAAATGTCCATCCATGGATGAATGGATGAAGAAAATGTGGTATATATATGTATATAAAATAGAATTTTAGTCAGCCTTAAAAAAGAAGGAAATCCTGCTGTTTGTGACAGCATGGATGAAACTTGAGGACATTAT